CGGGGCCTGGTCCTGGGGATTCCCCAAGCCGGACGCGGCCACAGGTGCCCGGACGGTGATCCCGCCCCGCAGCTGGCGGTTATTTTTACCGCTGGCTTCTCCCACCGTGTCCCAGATACTCCTGCGTGCAGCCTCGCCCGCCGGCTGCCAGGTGAGGAAGGCTCCCTCCCACGGAGGCCCCGCGACTGCCCCAGCCCTTCTGATGGTGTCCCAGCCCCAGTCCTCGCCAGAGCGGGCCCTGCCCAGGCGGCCCTGCCAGGTTCCCGCACTCCGGGGAGCCGATGAATGGAGGAGCTTTTCCTGCCCCCTCTCATCGGCTCCCCTGGGCCCCCGGGGGACAGGCCGGCTTGGGAAGCTCCTCTTCACTCCACCAATCCTTACAAGGCACCTACTGTGCGCTGCCAGTGCACAGGGGCCAAGGACATACATGAACAAGGCCAATAAGGTCCTGCCCCCAACGACCTTCTCATGGGGGAAGGCCAGCAAACACTTCCCCTAAAAGGAAGACTCAGAGGTGCCCACGGGGCTGTGGAGACCCGACACGGGGCGGGGCAAGAAAGCGCGGGGGCGGGGCTGCTCTAGATGGACAGTCACGGAGGGCTTCCTGGAGGAGGTGTCCCGAGGGAGCTGGCTGGGCAGGGCTCAGGAGGTGAGCGGTCCAGGTGGAGAGGCTGCACATGCAAAGGCCCAGAGGCGGGGTAGAAAGGAGCCCCCACCGCAGAGCCTGTCACCTCCCGGTGCCCCATGCCCTCGTCCCCTGAAGCCCGGCTCCTCACGCCCGGGGCCAGAAGCCCTGCCCCCAGTTCAGGTACTAATGTCACTCCTCATGGCCGGCTCCCTCTTTGCACTGCCCTGGGCTGGGCGCTTCAGGGGGGCAGAGGAGACATCCTGGCTCCCTCCCCCAGACCAGGCTGAGCCAGGCAGGTGCCCAGATGGGGTTTGTTGATCAATTTAGTGACTACGACGTGTCGGCGTCTCGGGCTCGAACACACAGCGGGGAGGTGGGGGGCGTATGTGCAGGCAGAATGTGCTGGGGTCTCGAGGTAACCAGGGACCCCCCGCCCCAGGGAGGGGACTGGACCCTCAGAGGGCGCCCAACACACCCGGGTGACAGGGGAGGGCGATCAGAGCCCGAGCCCCGTGGAGCCTGCAGGGAGGGAGGCGGGACCCGAGCACCCGAGGACGCGGATCGGAGACTGTCCCCCAGACGCACGTCCACGCAGACCTCAGAACGTGCCCTTATTTGGGATCAGCTCTGGGCAGATGTAATTAGTGAAGATGAGGTCAGACCAGCTGGGGGAGGCCCTAGGTCCAATGGCTGGTGCCCTTATAAGAGGGAAGTTTGGACACCGAGGCGCCCAGGGGAGTCCAGGGGAGAGCCGCTGGGTCTAACGGCCAGGGGACCTCGAGGGGGTGGCGCCCTCAGGAGTGGGCAAGGCCGGGCGGGCCCTCCCGGGAGCCTGCAGAGGGAGCGCAGCCTACCAGCACCTGGGTTCGGACTTCGAGCTCCAGCATTGAGAGAGAGTGAACAAGAAATGAATACACGCCCCGGCCAGTGTGCTCAGTGGGTAGAGCACCGGCCTGCGGACTGAAGGGTCCCGGGTTCGATTCCGGTCAAGGGCACATGCCTGGGTTGCAGGCTCGATCCCCAGTGGGGAGTGTGCAGGAGGCGGCTAATGATTCTCTCTCATCACTGATGTTTCTCTCTCTCTCTTCCTCTCCCTTCTCTCCGATATCAATAAAAATATATTTTTAAAAAGAAAGTAAAAACAAAAGAAACGAAGACACCTCCTGTCCTCCATCAATCCCCCCCAACAGGCCCCTGGAGAAAGCCACCCCGACCCGCTACACCGCACAGCACAGCCGCTCTCGGGGCAAACACCCCGTCACCTCCAGCACCAGCAGGCCCTGCCCGTCTGGCCCCTGACCAGACCTCAGGGGTCCCCAAGT